AGATTTTCAACATCCCTATAAGTCGAAGGGTGCTGTTCTTGTCAGCTTGCCCGCATCCCGCAGTTGGCGGATATAGCAGAGGCCCACAACACATCGACGGATCTTCGCTAAAGCCTGAAAATGCCCATGGCCCGTCACTGCAGCAACTCAAAGCTCCACTCCCACACAAGCGAAACCTTACTGCTGACAGGATTTGGACCCAGCATAGGTTCCAAAGAATTGTCGGGTTAAGGTTACAGTGGCTTACTGGCTATGTTTTCTACGGCGGCACACGTTGACCGTAGGGTTGTCTAAAGGGTGATAAACCGGCTTACCCACTCGGATATGAGGCACAGTACATGCGCTCCACGCAGAATGCCAGGTGCCGGACGCCCGCCGTGCCCCGCAGTGCCGCGCCAAGTGGAGGAGACGGCCCACGGGCAGCAACCGAACCTGCTTGCGAACATATGCGTTCCAGGGCAGGCTTTTCGCATTTTCGAGATTTGGGGACGGTCTCTGAGACGACCTATGCATCCTGTGAGAAAAGAAGCCATGGTCATGGCCTATTTTCAAAATCTCCTGCGCCTGCCAAACAGGAGGGAAAGCGGGTCTAGGGGGAGTGGGCGGGACCTTGCTGACTTCCAAAGAGCGTCTCTGGCCCATCCGTTTGGGTTCGGGGAGATCTATAGTTTAGGGTTTATAGGGTCTAGTTGAGGACCCGGGTCTCCCCCATAGCAAGGGTTCAGGTGAGGCCTCCGCGGGATCGATGCTCTCCGGTTCCAGCATGTCCTGGACATTCGGCCCAGGGACCCAGGGGGAGGGGCAGTTCTGCTCATGAGGGACTTCGGTGAGACTTGAACCTATATTCTTGCAGCCTTACAGAAGGGGGCCAGGCTTAGAGGTTTGCCCCCAGGTGAAGGTGGGGGTAAGATGGCTTGAGGATGCTTCAAGGCTGCAGGTTTCAGCCAAACAGCCTTTTGGACACAGGGACAGCCATTCAGAAGGACTGCCTTCGCCATGGCTGTTCATTAACTCAAGGCGAAGCCCTTCACTTGTACACTTGAACAAGAAACTACAGAGTTTCCCCCCCCCCCCCCCCCCCCCCCCCCCCCACAAAAAAAAAAAAAAAAACAACACAAAACAAAACCGGAAGCGAGCTCCCCTCCGAGCAGAAAATCAAGCCCTCAAAGCTGCTCGGTGCCAAGTCTGACTGCGGCAATTGTGGGAAGATCACGCGGGCGCTGCCCGGGCGACTCTGCTAGACGCTGTGTTTTCTTGCCGGTAACTGCGGTCTGTGGCCGGTGGCCCCCACTCATTGCTCGTGTGTGTCCCAAGATTCTACATTGAAATCTGAGCTGAGGTCGAGAAGACCGGGTTCAGGTGGATGATTCTTAAAAAAAGGTAACGGCTCGAGGAGCTGTCCGATATAGTGCCCAAGATGCTGAGATACGATGGAATGCAGAAGAGGGTGGCCGAAAGCAACTCTCAAAGACAATGGAGGTTCTTGGAGGTTCTTGTGTCTGAACCCTCGCTCCCTAAAATCCTATATACATTTCAAGCCTAGGGCTTTGCGGTCCTCCGTGGGAACGGCCGGCTGTTCGTTGTCCGAGTCCTCCCGCAGCAGTGGGGGGAAGTTCAGAGTAGAATAAACCCCAAGCAGGTACCGCCCATGAATCGTGCGTTGACGACCCAAGATGGCACGCTGAGCACCTGTACGACAGACATCTTCTTCGGATTCCGATGGTTCCAGCGTTGTAAGACGCCGGCTAGTACAAGGAGGATCGGAGGATCCGTCCCGGCCGAAATCGTCATCCTCCCCCCCGCCCCCCCCACAAGATAAGCAGACGCCCAACCTCCACATTCCTGCACTCTTGACAGCATGTGGCTGCCAGGAGACGATTCTGCATCACGCGGTCGCTTGAATGTTGTCTCGCCATCTGTGTCCTCGGCGGTGCATCCACTACATCTGGCCTTCCAAATTCTTTCCATTCGTCTCAGTGCAGCGCGAGAATTCTTGCCAGCCAGTGTTCAAATTCATCAAAAGACCCCCAATCCTCAGCACCATGCGGCTTCGCTTAGATGGGACGCGTGTCCGTACAACTGAGGTCCAGTGAATCGTAACAGGGGAAAAGGCTTTCTCTCTTGAATGTTGGCGAGCGTTGTTGGGACCATTTTCCCCAAAAGCAGGGGCTCCTCCCCGATGGGTCACCCACCGTGGTCGCATATGTCGGGTCATCCTTCACGCCAAGGCGTTGACGTGCATACCTCCATATTGAGATCTGGCCCAGTGCGCCCAGAATCCCTCCGTGGTGGCTCCTTCAGCGCATGTCGAAGGTCATAGGACGCTGTGCCTTCGTTGTGCGCCGTTTCTGCTGCCGTGTGAGTTCCTTTGGAATCAATACTCCAACCCCTGCTGCCGTAGATCTCTCCACGGATCCACCCCTGCAACTCGGAGTACAGAGGAATAAGAAATCGGTGCATACGCCGTGCGGCGTGTTGCAGAAACCCGAACCCCGTCAGCATGTACCTCTTGTTAGTAGCCACCTGAAGAAGGGTAGGCGCAGTCCACCCCCTACAGTTGTGGCGCTGCATGTTTGGCAGAGCTGCTTACTCAAGCGCTTGCAGCCAGCCGGGTTAGAGTCAAGACACCCCCTTAAACCCCGAAACCCCCGGCCCCCACGGTGAAGGTGCCTGCGCCCGAACACAGCAGAGGAAGCCTCCCTTCTTCGCCTCACGGGCACTCATCGGACTTAGGTAGGGTTTAGGGTTTAGGGTTTAGGTTTGATAAAGTAGCTCGGATTGGTCTTTACAATTTCAGGACACCGGCCCTGTAAGTAATCCTCATGATCAAAAAAGACGAGAAGCTAAGTCACTGAACTGAGCCCACGAGCCCAATCACCGAAGCACAGGGGATCTCTCTCCAAGCAGCCGTGAAGGCTTAAACCCCTTAAACCCCTGAACCCGAAATCCTCCCTGCGATCCCCCTTGTTTGAAGCCTTGGCTTTTGGCGCGCTGGATTTCGAGCCGCTAGCCTGGCTTTCAAGGGGAGCGAAGAGGGGCTTTTGGGTGTTAGGGTTGAGTGGCTTGGGGGAGGTTAGGGTTTGTTCTTTGGGGGGGGGGGGGGGGGGTTTAGGAGTTCAGGGTCTAGCCATAAGGAGTTTGGGGCTTCGGGGGTGGCGAGGGCTGCTGCATTTTTAATGGCTTTGGAGGCCCTGGACCCCCTTTGAATGTAACTTGCACGTACAAGCAACAACTCATGGTTCGGACATAGAGTGGTTGCGACACTTTTCCCACCCCTTCGGACCTGGTCGCCACGGCCATCAACAACTTTGGACGACTTAGCCGATCAGGGAGCAACTGGCTACCGAGTCTCTCGGAATCCTATGACATCGTTATGACATCCTTTGAGCAATCAGGTCGACTACCCTACCACCCACTTCCGAGCAAGCTGACAAACATACTCTTCATTCTTGGTACCACAACCCTGAAAATTTGCCTCTAAGCCATCTGTCTTCCAGAAAACTTCTTGTTTAACCAAGCAAAGATCGATCCTGGGCCGTGGGAGCTGGAGATGAGTTAGGGGCCGACTGATGGTTCCTGTACGCTGCATGTCGCACGACACCGGAGTGGGACTTATAACTGATAGGATTCCGGCTGAGACTTCAAGAACGCCTCGGCGCATTTTGCGCTTGAACTGAGGTGAGACGCCCGATGCTGGGGTGAGCGAATTCGACCAGGTGGAAACACAAATCTGCCAAAGCCTACTTTTGCCCCTGGGTTTAGGTTTAGGGCCTACGACTTAGGATATAAAACCGCTGCACAATATTCCTAAACACGATTCTTAAGCCCTTCCAGGGACAACATGTTAACAAACAATATTGACTAGACGTACCCTATTCCCCTGAGCCTCGAAGGCTTAAAGACGTTTCCCACTTCCTTCGCTCTCATGACACAGGGGTTTTGGAACCTCTCCCTTTTCTGGTCAGCGCTGGCACTGGTATGAGCCGTAGCTTCTTCGTGACTGCAATGAACCTCGGGCACATCCCGCTGCTTGCCCTTGGGCCCCTTCGTTTTGGGCCGCTACAGCCGTGAGGCTCGGGATTAATAGGGCTTCAAGGTTTTGCCACTGCGGGGTGGTAGAGTCACAACAGGCTTCAGAGAGATGCCGGTACTCGTTGCAGATGTTCGTATTGTATTTATTTATTGTTTTTTTTGTGGGGGGGGGGGATGTTTGCCACTGCAGGATGTTGAGCAAGCTTCGTTTCTCGACGGCTCAAACGCTACTGATTTGGGGGGGAGCGGCCATGCGACCTAGGTGAGCTGGAGAAAACCCTCAGCGCCCACAAACCCACGCCCTGGAGTGAACACCCAAACACCCCTTCAACACTCAAGGCCAGCCCGACTCCCATGCACCATAGACCCCTGAACCCTTATCCCAAAAAACTCTATCAAACCCTATAAACCCGATAAACCCTACAACCCCTATAAACCCGATCAACCCTGTAAATAACCCTACAAAACCCTACAAAACCCTATAAACCTTCATGCAATGCCAGGGCACTGTTCCAGGCCCAGGGGAGCTGGCGGCCCCAGCAGGTCCTTCAGCGCCTGCGTGGTTCGAAACCCAAACAAGTAGGCACCCCGTGAGATTTCAGAGATTGCAAGCCGGGCTTCCGAACATGATTCCATAAAAGCATGAGGCTTGGGATGCTTCAGCTTCTTAAGGTAGGGTTTAAAAAGGGCTTGGAGACGGGATCATCAATCAGGCCTCCAGCTGCACATCCCATGGCCAGCAAAGCTTTTTGTTGGTGCAGGTGCATCTTTCACCTCAATCAGGCATTAGCCTCTCACGATGACCGTCCTGGCAGTTTTGCCACCAGGCCGTGCATGATCAACCGAAGCTATGTGCAGCACAAGGTGAACGCAGAAGCTTGTGATGCACAAGCGTGGAACGGCAGTATAGGCGTGCCGGTCTCTTGCAGCACTGCTATGCACTGCTCAAATTGGCAACTGGAGCCTTTTCACTCCGCAAACCAAACGTGCCTCTCACAGGTGATTCTCGATTCCTTCTTGCCGGTTATATCAGGCTCAGGAAGTTTGACTGTGGAGGAAGCTCTCGTGATCTTGTCCCGGGTGTGGGAGCATTCACTCATCGTCCACGAGCCCTTGAGGTCACCATGGTAGTGGAGCTCCCTCTCATGGAAGAGTTTCAACTCAATCTTGTGAGAAATGGAGAACACGGCAAGATTCAGCCGCGTACAGCGGTCATACAAGTCGTGCTCCACATCAGGTGATATTCCATTTGTGCACTCGTCCAGCACCACGAAAGAGGGTCGGTGGTAGAAGAGCCTTGCAAAAGCCAGTCTCTGCTTCTGGCCTGGTGAGAGATCTTTTTGCCAATCACGAACATCGTCGAGGCCTGGTCTAACAACGAGGCCCGCATCATTGAATTCCTTACTGTTGGTTCGGAGGGAATGAGGGAATGAGGTACCCTATATCCCCCTATATATACCCATTTAAGGGATGTTATAGGGTACCAAGATTCCAGCTGAGCTCGCCCGTCATGTATGACGGTCGGGGAAACATGAGCCCAACGAAGGCAGGTACGCACATCATCGTCGCTGCAGCCTGCCATCCTCATCTCTTCCACGGACTGTGGATAGATGACCAGGTCACGAAGCGAGCCACAAGGCACAAAATTTACTTGCGTCAAGAAGTATATTTCCTTGTCGTCTGGCATGGTGATGGTTCCTTCTACCAGCGGCCACAGTTTGCGAATGACCCGAAAGAGGCTAGACTTTCCGCATCCATTACCCCCGGTCACTAGTACACGCTGTCCACGCTCCACTGTGAAGTTCAGGTCTTTGACAAGCAGTGTACCATCTGGACGATACACAGAAACGTGCTCGAACTTCAGGTGCTCACCCTGCAGGAACACTGGGGGACTGGGACCACTCTTGGCTGCATCGATCTCTGCACATAACACAGGCGGACGCACTTCTAATCCCAGCATGAGTTGACGAACTCGAGTGGCAAAGCCGCTCAATCTCCCTATGCGGTTTGTGAGCTCGAACAAATCCTGAATGGCTGTTGCCATGGCCTCCATGTTTCTCCAGGTGGATGTAAAGTACTGTGCAATTTGATCGCTCGTAAACGGTGGCAACTCTTCTGACCGGAGGCGCAAGGGCCTCGCAATGAGGATCAACCCAATCACTGTACAAAAATATTTGTTCAGGTACTGCCTGAGCACTTCGGAGTTAAAGGAGAGGTTGATAGTACGCTTGCAGTGGCTCATGAGCTCCGCAAAGGACACGTTCAGGACATCCTTCTCCGGCCGCTCGCCACCCAGGAAGGCAATCTGCTCACAATTCGTGATGAGCTCAGAGTGCTTCCCTCGGAAATTGCCCTCCAACCTTTGCTCGCCAGCTGCCAACTCGCCAAACGGAGGCAAAGTCACCGCCGAGATGCACGAAGCAAAGGCAAACCAAGAGTATAATGTCAAGGGTGTTGCAAGGCCCTGAACCCGGCTGAGCTCCACGGAATAAACGAGGAAGTCCACAATGGGCTTCAACGATTGCGAGAAGACTTCCGCAAAGACGTCGGAAAACCTCTCCACATCTGAGGTGATTTGGTGGTCGCAATTGTCTATCTTCTGTCCGACTTTGTTGGCCTTGTAGAAGATCATATCTTTGGGGCGCATGTACTTCTCGTGACACCAAAGTGTGATCTTTTCACGGACTTGCAATCTAAGGGCGCTGATGTAGTACTTTAGAAGTGCGTTCAGCACTGAAAGAAAAACAGTTGCACCGGCAAACTCCGAAACCAGTCTGGCCAGTCGAACAAAATCTTGCGACACCACCGAATTCACAATACTGCCCCAGTGCTTGGAGACCCAAACAGAGCCAACGGTGCGCAGAAGCAACATCAGCGACAGCTTTGCAACGGTGAAGAACTCCCGAACGCTACAAGTCGAGCCCAGAATAAACCTCATCAGGTCTGTCAAGCCTTCCACCTTGGGCTGCTTGTCACTCTTGACCTTCAGGTTCTTGGCCTTGTAAATTTGCACCCTCTCGCTGAACTTGCTGACGAAGCTTAAGAAAACCAGCCCAGCACCAAGCCCTAGCGCGCCACTTCGGCGTGGGTGGCGCACCATGACGACCTGGGGCACAGGCTTCATGATTCGTGGCATGGCTGCGGTCGCGTAGATGGGATTCGCGACTTCTCTCTGTTAGCAGCCGTAGACGCCTTGTAGCTACATCAATTTAGGGTTTAGGGTTCCGTGGAATGTTTCTGCCATACTTCTGTCATGAATATTAGTGAAGCTTCTTTTGGCATGCTCTGACCCTCCTTGCTTGGGCCTCAGGTCGCGCGATCCCAGTGCGGCTTCGCTGGCACTCAACAAGTCCAGGTGCAAGGTTCCTCGCAAGAATGAGGTGGGTTGTGGATCTGATTTTTCAAACCCAGAACTGGCCTGGTAGAGGCTCGACTCCTCTTGAAGCGTCAGGGCCTCCTGCAGCACCAGGGGCACGGCTCTGAACCCTCAACCTTCAAACGTGCAGAACCTAGGCCGGAGCCCGATGTGAAAAAGAAAGACTACCAACACTTGCAGAGGCCCCTGATTCTCGGATGCAAAAGTAGGGAGTCTTTATGGCGACTCTCCAGAGGTGGCTCTCTACACTGTTCACTACACCCTTGAAACAGCTCACCAGAGGCTCTGCTTAGTCGATCTAACACCATCTACACACGCACAGGCTCCTCTCGAAACCATGGAGCCAGCAGAAAGGGTTCAGGGTTTAGGGTTTCCGTCTTAAGACACCACTTCCATGGCCCCAGAGCCCGCATCCTCAGTTGCCCCTGACACCACACTCCCTCCACTTGCTCCTGCGACTTGTGCTGGTAGAGGACCTCGGGGCCACACGGTACACTTTAGAAAGGTTAAGTCTGTTGAAGGCTTCGGCTGCCATAGGATCAGGGGGGTAGGTATCTCAGTAAGTTATCGGGCAGGAGACATGAGTGCGGCCTCACTTTGCCAAAAGCTTGAACAGGCCCGCAGTTGCTGCAAAGCCGCCTTGCGCAGTGTGCTGCTGGCAATGGACCTCGGCTGGTGAGGGTGTGTAGGGCAGTGTAGTCTGTAGGGCAGCGCAGGTGCTGCCCCAGTGACTACGGCGTTTCAGAGGCTCTGCACCCCCCTCCCCCCACGAAATCCTAAACGCCACGGGCATCAGAGCCAGCCAACAGGAAGATGGGAGGAAGTGCAAACTACCGAGATCTAAACTGAACTCCCTGCCCCAAATCCAATGACCCAAAGCCACAAGAACCAAGCGCAAAAACGCAAGCAGGAATCACCACCAAGTGGCCGCACGCCACCCGATCCCTTGCTGCGGCAGATGTGGAACGCCTTTTACAAACTTGCTCGTTACTGGGTCGTTGTTTTTTGCAGGGTAATTACTTGGTCTCTCCAACATCCAATATGGACCCCATGACCAAGGACTCAAAAGCCGAAGAGTCGAGTGGATCGGGAGATTTGGCTGCTTGAAAGGCTTAGAGTCTTAGAGCTTACCTGGAGCCCCATTTGTGGCTTCCTTCTTTGGGGTACCTGGCTACCTGCTTCGAATATCACGGGAAGTGGGCTTCGCCGCAGAAGGACCTACAATTGCGGACCTCCAGAGCCAGCGGCTCTTGGACATGTGGGGGCATGGCTTTGACAGCTTGGGGGGGGGGGGGGGGGGGGGGGGGGGGGCGGTTGATTGTGTGGGGCTTGTAGGAGAATCAAAATTCTTGGTTTTGGCTTAGGATGAAGGAGCTTCTGCTGTTCTGCTACCAGGGTGAACAGCTCAACGGTCACCAAGCTTCTGCAACCAACCCGATGAAGCACCAAAGCCCAGAAACCCTTAACCCCAAAGCCCGAGATATGGGCATGTCCCCAAAGAAGGGTACCCCGTTTGTGCCCCAAAAAGAATAGAACTCCTGTAAAGGGACCCAAAAAGGGGTACCTGTGTTTTCGGAACCCCCCCCCCCCCCCCATATCTTCCCTGGGTCCTCCAGGAAGTCGTCCACGCCGCCGGGTGAGAGACCAAGATCCCGGGACACCTCTTCCGTACTCTCTCGCTGGGGAAGGGAAGGGGAAGGGGGGGTTTTCCCTCCTGCACAGGGGTTGGGGGGGGGGGGGGGGGGCAGGGAGAGGGGGTTTATAACCCGAAACCCTGTGAAGCTCCAGTCCCTGCCCACCGTGTTTAGGGGCGGGGGGGGGGGGTGGTGGGGTCAGGGAACTCGCCTAGCTGACCGCTCTCTGGGAATCTGCAGTACACTTTTTTCTGGAAAGAGTCATCAACACATGCCACTCACTGAGCAGACTCCATGTGTGATGGCAGAGCCCAGGCACAGAAAGAAAGGGATGTAGGGTTTAGGTTGAGGGCAGTTTAGGGTGGGGGGTTCCAAGGCCTTGGAGGTTCCACCTTTCATCTTCAGGAATTGTGCAGCACCTTGTATAGTCGGCTGATTAATCGTGCTGTCTCCGTTTATGTTACCCGAACACCCAAGACAAAATGTCAGGCTCTGCGCTGCTTGGGGGGCATAGCTCAAACAATACGTATGCTGTAAGCTTTGGTTAGCAGGGGCATCAAGCCCATCATATCATGTTCACAATACGGATAGTCACAACAATCAGTAACAATCCGTATTCATTATTAGTCCGGATGACCCTGGCATTGATTATCCTCAACAACTGCGTGTTAGGAGCGAGAGTGTGCATGAGCGTAATGAAACTGCAGACTTTGACAGCCATCCAAAACCAAATCTACAAACGGAAACTGCGCATGGATATCTGCTAGCTCAACTGACAAGGCCCTCAGCTCCCGAAACCGGGAGGCCCATCGTCTGAGACTTTTTCTCGAAACCCTGAATGCCCTAAGGAAGCCCCTATACCCTCCTACCTGAACCCCCCAAAAACCCCTTAATCAGGGCCTCAGTGTACCTTGAGGGTATCTTAAGGGGGTCTAGGTAAACCCTCCAATCCGATGCGGAACATCTACAAACGCCTAAGCCCGAAAAGGTCCTGCAAAAGCCCGGTAACGAGTCCGCAGCTGCGAAACCCCGGACTGTCTGCTGTCCAGGCGCCAGCTCTGCTTCCTCGTCCAGGGCGCTGGCGCACGTGTCCTGCGGATGTGTACCAGTGTTGGGGGGTTTGGGGGTCTGGGCGGGCTTAGGGCTTATCCATACGTATTACTTACAAACTTTAGACCTCAATGTAGGATTTGTATACTTGAAGCCCTAGGGTATGGGAGGGTTGATGTCCGGGAGAGGGTTTCCATGAAGGGTATTGCCTAGGGTTTCAAGGCTCGCCGGGCTCGATAGTCTGGGGACTCGGGATATGTCAAGTGGGTACCCTTCGTAGCATCGGGCTGTATGGGGCATTGATGGTGGTATAGGATGCCTATGTAAGGTATCGGGGAAACACTGGGAATTCCTTGTAGAAGCGGGAGAGAGTGAGAGATTAACCCCCGAAGATTGTTTGCCGCCCGCACTGCAGCATCCTCGAAAAGAGAGGGTTGAACGAAGGTTTACGAACATAGGGAACCCCCAATATAGATCCCCAAATGGTGGATCCATGTTTATAAGGACCCCAATAAGGTACCCCCAATTTCGGACACCCCCGAAGGGTTTATGGCGCCCTCTGTCCCACGAACGACTCCCTGGACTCTGGGCCCTTTACTCCTCGAAGCCCACGAAACCCGTAACTTGCTCGCCTCGAAGGTGCGCAGAACCTCCAAGAAGCCAATTAGGCTCAAGGGTTTGGAAGTCGCGTCATGCAGCCTTGAGAGAGGAGCTTTCGTGGCTTGGGGCGTGCGCTTAGGCTTGGGGAGAACTTGAAGCAGGGCACACCAAATCTAGTGAAACCTGAGGCTCAAACTCTACAAGCACTACGTGCTCACAAGCTCGATTATCCATCTCCTGGGCATCCTTCCCTATCCCTACCATAAAAGCCTGTTCTGAAATTCCCCCCCCCCCCCTCCAGTTCCCCGCAAAAACTCCGTGAGGCATCCCTGAACCCTTAACGCCCTACCTGCCTTCTCAGGGCCCCGCCCCCCCTAGGCACACCCTTGAAGCCCCCTTAAAGCCCTCACAGCCCATGAACAACGGAACAACCCTCGCCGGAGGAGCTTCAAGGAGTTGCGCATGGTGTCCCTGAGCTTCTGGTCCCACCTGGGCTTCGGTCTTTGGTTATCAGAGTGCTTCCAAACGCTCCTCGAGCTGCTACTCCGAAGCTTTGGTTTGCGTCACACAACACACGGGCATCCATTTTCTCGGAAACCCCCTAAGGGTACCACCCCCCCCCTGCATTCAAGCCCTAAACGCTAAAACCTAAACCCTACAACCCCTCACGCAACCAAATCAACCCCGGAGCTCCCCTAAACCTTAAAACCCTAAACAAAAACCCCAAAACCCCCATAGCCCCCAAAACCCCTGCGAACCCCGAAACCCCTAATCCCCTAAATCCTAAACCCTAAACCCTGAACCCTAAACCCTAAGCCCTAAGCCCTAAACCCTAAACCCTAAACACTAATCCCCGAAATGGTGGGGGGGCCGGAGCACTTCAGCGCCGGATAGAGGGACTCGAAGAGCTCGGCCACCTCCGGGGTGTGCTTTTTGCTGCCTTTAAAAAGGGCCTCCTGTGCACTCTGCCTCCAGAATGTATCGAGAAAAAGGAAGCTGTACATATATAGATATAGAGATGTTATATTATTATGTACTACAACAATGCAATATAATTAGAGATGAATGGATGTATGCATGTAACTGAATTTCTCTCTTTGCATGTATGTCTTTCCCATTCCATCAGGCTTCTCTCGCCAAGCTTGAATCTAAATCCGTAACGCACACCCTTTGCAACGAGGTCTCTCTCAAAGTATACCTCCCAGTCGCACGCCAGCACTGTCGCTAGCAGTAACCATTCTATCAGCAATCTCGGACATCTGAACTTTAAACCCTGCACCTTGTTCCACCAGGCTTTCTTTATCGCCCGAACCCAACACCCAACAGACCCCCGAACCCAAACCATCCAACTCCCACTCAGAGTTCGGCTGTCAGGGTTGAATCAGGGCTTAGGATGGTCTAGCGTCTAGTTATGGGACAGCCTTCTAGGGTTCCAAGCGCTCGAACAATCAGACCAATTTGGGCCGATTTGGGTTCAGCGTTTCGGGTTTCCTCGATCACTCTCGCACAAGGCCAACAAGGTTCGTGGATCATATTTGGTCAGACTAAAGCATGGTTGGTTTAGGGTGTGGGGTCTAGGGTTTGGGGTGGGCTGTGGAAGATGAGGTTCGGGCTTCTAGACTCAGAACTTAGGTCTCACACGCCGAGACGGTGCACTCCCAATCCCAAAGTTCTTCATTGAACAACTTTCCTACATCCCCAGAAAGTGATCGCAAGATACCCCCAACTATACACCCTCCCACCACAGGAAGGTGCAACTTAAGGATATCCTGCTGTAGTCTCAGCCCCCGCAGCACTTCGTGCTGGGCACCTCAACCACAAACTTCCTGGGAACAAAACACCAAGTGGGCCCCCCAAACCCGACCTCGAGAGCCCCAGTGTTTTCTACTCCTGGGCCACTTACAGAAGCAAGCCTGAGTCCCGTGTGAGTTCATCCCTCTTGTTGGGCCTTGCCGTGGAGCAGCTTGCCGTTGCGATCCGGGCCCAGCTTTCGGAAGCTCTCTTCCAGAGACTTGACTTCCTGCCATCGCCCCCAAGGTAGGGGGCGGGGTGTCTGAAGTGCACGTGTTCCTGAATATGGGCGCGCATGTAGATGTGTGTCTGTGCGTACGGTTGTATACATGCAAGCATGGCTGTATGTGCGCATGTGTCTTCGCGCGCATCTATACGCGCGGACGTGCACCATGTGAGCATTGTGAATCACAGCATGAATTCACAATAGCGGCGCTCCTAAGACGCACTATTCAAGGACTCTGACCCGCTCATCCTTGGCTCGAAATCACTTCATACACAAGCCTTCCCAACAAGTTGAAGTGCTGAGGAATACTGAGGCCGCACCATGTGCAAGTTGCTGCTTGGCAGTGTGTGCTTCTTGTTGAGCAAGGCTCATGACGGAATCACGGAGGTTTTAGCCGTTGGTTTCAAGAGCAAGTTAAAGTCGCTCCATTGGGCACCGAAGTAAAGAGCATGATTTAAGAGGGACTCCACAAGAGACCAAGTGCTAGAAGTGACAGTTTTGACCAAATAGCTCGGCTTCCATTGCAGAAACCTGGCCTTGGATGAAAACGCTCTGCGGACGCTGCCAAGCACAAAGGTCAGCAACAATGATGAACAGCCCTCATGTCAGGCTTGCTGCTTGGCCATGATACGGCGCTTAACAAGGCCCCTTTAAAGCATGCTGCGCGCACCTTCTGCGTGAAGCGGCTGTGCGTCCGGTAGGCATCTCGATTCATCTGCCGGAAGCTCGCCACAATGTCGCGAAAGTCCTCGAAATCCTGGTGGAAGGGTTTTAAGGTTTAGGGTTCAGGGTTCAGCAGCTCTGGGTCGAGCAATCTCTAGTAGAGCCTCTGTCTGGACTCTAGAAAAAAACCCACCCACCCAGAGAATCCCAAAACATTAAGAAATATAAAGTTCACATTTTTCCTCAGCAAGCCCTGTCCTCCAACCTCATTTATTCATTCTGCTCGTGTTCTTTGTCATTCTGCTTGGTTTCCATTCTGCTCGTATGCGTTTCTTTCTGCTCGTATTCATTCTGCTCGTATTCGTTCTTTTTCTGATCTGCTCGTCTCGTTTTCGTTCTCGTTCTGCTCGTATTCATTCTGCTCGTATTCGTTCTCTCTCTGCTCGATTTCAGTCCGCTCGTTTTCGTTGTTTTTCTTCTCGTATTCATTCTGTTCGTATTCGTTCTCTCTCTCTCTCTCTGCTCGATTTCAGTCTGCTCGTCTTCGTTCTCTCTCTGCTCGTAATCATTCTGCTCGTATTCGTTCTCTTTCTGCTCATATTCATTTTGCTCGTGTTCGTTCTCTTTCTGCTCGTATTTGTGCTTTTGCTGCTCGTATTCGTTCTCTCTCTGCTCCATTTCAGTCCGCTCGTTTTCGCTGTCTTTCTGCTCGTACTGAGTCTGCTCGTACTCGTTCTCTTCTGCTCGTATTCATTCTGCTCGTATTCGTTCTCTCTCTGCTCGATGTCAATCTGCTCGTATTCGTTCTCTTTCTGCTCATATTCATTTTGCTCGTGTTCGTTCTCTTTCTGCTCGTGTTCGTGCTCTTTCTGCGCGTGTTCGTTCTCTCTCTCTGCTCGATTTCAGTCCGCTCGTTTTCGCTGTCTTTCTGCTCGTACTGAGTCTGCTCGTACTCGTTCTCTTTCTGCTCGTATTCATTCTGCTCGTATTCGTTCTCTCTCTGCTCGATGTCAGTCTACTCGTATTCGTTCTCTCTCTCTGCTCATATTCACTTTGCTCGTGTCGTTTTCCCCGGTGACCCTGCCTATTTTTGGCCGTCTTGTTGATTGTGTTTGGCACACTTTAAGCTGCCTGGCTTCCACATGGTTGCTTTCCAATTAGTGCCCCGGTGACCTCGCCTCATGTTGGCTCCTGCTCGTAGGGTTTGATGAGAGGCCTAGAGGTTTGTCGTATGTCCCCTCTCTTCGTGCTCGTAGGGTTTGTCGTATGTCCGTCCCTTCATGCTCGTAGGGTTTGATGAGAGGTCTACAGGTTTGTCGCACGTCCCCTCCCTTCGTGCTCTTAGATTTTGTCGTATGTCGCCTCTCTTCGTGCTCGTCGGCTTTGTCGTGTGTCCCTCTTCGTCTTCTTGCAAAGAACCCCAAGAATTAAGAAACTGAGATTGTATTTTCAGAGGTTTGCCGTATGTCCCCTCCCTTCGTGCTCGTAGGGTTTGTCGTATGTCCCCTCCCTTCGTGCTCGTAGGGTTTGATGAGAGGTCTACAGGTTTGTCGTACGTCCCCTCCCTTGGTGTTCTTAGGGTTTGTCGTATGTCCCCTCCCTTCGTGCTCGTCGGCTTTGTCGTATGTCCCTTTCCTTCTGCTTCGCGCTCTTAGGGTTTGTCGTATGTCCCCTCCCTTCGTGCTCGTCGGTTTTGTCGCATGCCTCTTGTCTTCGCGCTTGCTTTCCCCAGACCGAAGGTAGAACCAAAAGTGTTGGTCCGGATTGACAAAAAATGTTTTGTTTTCCCCCCACCCCACCCTCCAACCATTCCAGTTCGAGCCAATCCCCAACCCACCCTAGAACCAACTACCCGTATTCGTTCTCTCTCTTGCTTGCGAAGCCCTCATCCAGGTTTCCAACCCCAGAATGGGGGTCCGGAAGTTGCTTTTCCCCACCCCACCCTCGGACCACCCAAGATGAGAAACACTAAGAAGGGGCCGCCGCATTCCCGGCCCCGCAAAGCCTTCATCTGGATCTGGCTCAGACCCAGGTTTTCAAGCCCAGAATGGGGGTCTGGGCCAGAAGAGGGAAGGGGGGGGGGTGGGGGGGGGGTGGGGGGGGGGTGGTGGGGGGGGGGGGGGGGGGTGGGGGGCGGGGCGGTGGGGGGGGGGTGGGGCGGGGTGGCGGTGGGTGGGGGGGGGGTGGGGGGGGGGTGGGGGTGGGGTGGGGGGGGGGGGGGTGGGGGGGGGGTGGGGGTGGGGGGGGGGGGGGGGGGGGTGGGGGGGGGGTGGGGGGGGGTGGGGTGGGCGGGTGTATGGGGAGGGGGGGGGTGAGGGGGGGGTGGGGGGCAAAAAAAAGGCAAAAAAGCCGTGGCCATTGGCAAAAAAGCCGTGGCCATTGGCAAAAAAGCCGTGGCCATTGGCAAAAAAGCCGTGGCCATTGGCAAATGCCACTTGCCAATGGCCACGGCTTTTTTGCCAATGGCCACGGCTTTTTTGCCAATGGCCCCGGCCCCCATTAAGGTTGGGGCCCAACCTTAATGGGGAACGTGGCCATTGGCAAAAAAGCCGTGGCCATTGGCAAAAAGCCCGAAAAGTTGCCAATGGCCACGGCTTTTTTGCCAATGGCCACGTTCCCCATTAAGGTTGGGGGGCATTTTGTGCGAATTGGGTTTGAAAAACCCATTTTGGCGACCAACCTTAATGACATTGGTGGCCATTGGCAAAAAAGCCGTGGCCATTGGCAACTTTCCCGTGGCCATTGGCGAATTTGCCAATGGCCACGGCTTTTTTGCCAATGGCCACGGCTTTTTTGCCAATGGCCACGGCTTTTTTGCCAATGGCCACGGTTTTTTTGCCAATGGCCACGTTCCCCATTAAAGTTTAAATTATTATATGAAAGAGAGGGTTTAGGGTGTGGCCCTACCTCAAAGAGTCAAGTTTCACAGCTCTTCAAACCATGCGCAGCCAGGAGTCCAGCTGCCCATGCAACTCGGTCGTCTTCTTCAGCCAGTCTGCGAAGAAGGAGGTGTATCGCACGTTCACCTCGCCATTCGTGGAGAGCGGGACATGGATTACAACACTGCGCCTCTGCTACTGGGCTTGCTCTTTGGAGATGCGATTCTCCTCTTCATGGTGGTGTGGTTTGGCTTTCTGCTCTTCTAGGCACCTACGCGCCTGAAAAACGAGGAAGTGTGTGCACACTTTGTTGCCATGTCCTCATCCCAGGCACTCGGACAGAAACCCTGGGATCCAGAAGCCCTACTAAACCCTGTAAACATCCTCAACTGGCTACTCTCCGGGCTGCGTGAAAGCCCCCCGAAGCACCCCCGGGGCGCACCATCTTCAGGGCGAGCTGGAGGTTGTCCCGTCGCAATGGTCCGGAACCCCCCTTCTCCGCGTACTTACGGAAGACGGTCCTTGCGATCCTCGGCCGCTGGGGCGGGCGGGGAAGGGGGGTGTATCCCCTCAGAACTCAGAACCAAGGCCCTGGCTGTCATCTTCCTCCCCCCTCATGTGGCCCAAAATGCAGGTCGGGGATCTGCATGATTGAAGGAACGAACTACAGGCCTGGTAGGGGATGGTACTCATCAAAGAACCGCCCATACGTGTACCACCCGGCTGCTCCTCCGCAAGCCACCATAACACATAGGCTGGTCTCTCAATCCGCCGAGGCCTGGGGCCGGAGGTGTATAGGTTGTCAGAACCCCACACCCAAAGCCCTTTTTCGGACCCCTTTTTTTGGCCTCAAATGGGTACCCCCGCTGGGAAACCGGGGTCCGCAAGCGGACGGTTCGCCAGGACCAAAGGCAGTTGAAGCCCCTCCCACCCACCCCCCCCCCCCCCCACCCCGGGCCCCCGACCCCCTCTACCCCCCCCCCCCTCCCCTCCCCCCCACCCCACCTCCCCCCACCCCCCCCCTCCCCCCCACCCTGCCGAAGAGTCACCTTAAACCTTAAGGGGCTGGCTCAACCCTACTAAAAACCCTCAACCCCAAAGCGTGAACCTTGAGCCCTAAACTAACCCTCAACCCCAAACCATAAACCCGGAACCCTCAACCATCAACCCTCAACCCAACCCTTATTGCTTGGGGTCCAGCGACTTGGGCGCTGCGGAATCACCATGCTCACGCGGATGCGCTGGGCCGGGCCGAGGCGGGTCGCGTAGCGTTAAAATTACTGTTAAGTAGGGTCCCCTTTTGTGGCTACCTTTTGCATGCGGGCTCGTATGTTTAGGGCCATCCATCCTCAATTGCCGCTTGTTTTTTCTCATGGGGCCCTAAACCCTCAAACCCTCAAACCCTCAAACCCTAAACCCTAAACCCAAAACCCAACAGAGTGTGCTCCATGAAGCACAAGGCTCCGCATCTCCGCCTCGTCTTGCTCCCGACAAATCCGAAGGAACTGGGCTTCGCCCACCTCCGCACACGAGCGTCCCTTAAGGATTTAAAGGGTTTTAGGGGTTTGAGGATTTAGGGGATTAGGGTTTTAGGGTTTATAGGGTTTTAGGGTCTTGGGGTCTTATGTTATTATAGGTCCCTTAAGGATTTGGGGCTTTAGGGGTTTGAGGATTTCGGGTGTTAGGGTTTTAGGGTTTAGGGTCTTAGGGTTTGATAGGGTCGTAGGGTGTATAGGATTCCCTTAAGAATCCGCGGGGTTGCGCTTTCTTTTCCATCGCGAAAGAAGGGAAGGTAGGGTCCCGCCGCTTCGACTCCTAGTTGCCTTTCGACCGTGAGCAAGGGACAAGGTGGATTTGCGCGTAACGCGCAAAGATTTCGAGACGACATGGGAACCCCCCAAACAAGCAAAGTTGCAACTACACAATAACTATGTCCCGGGGGTAGGCCGTCCCCGCAGAAGAGTCGCATCCCGATGTCCGGACATGCAACATGTGCTTCGTCCCTCAGGACCCGTCTGGATGCCCTAAACCCTAAACCCTAAACCCTAAACCCTAAACCCTAAACCCTAAACCCTAAATCCGAAAGAAGCCCATGCCCTGCAGCACTCCCAAAGCTGGCAGTTTTACACACTGAGCTCCGGCATGATGAAGCATCCTTTCCCAAAAAACAACACCCTCAACCTCTGAAAGCTCTGTGAAGAAAAGGAAGCCCATGAACCTTACAAAAAATGACAAAAGTTCAAAAGCCCCCCCCCCCCCCCGGAAACAAAAAGAGCAACAAAAACACAAGTGGCGGTTGCCGAAGTTCAGGGTACCTTATTGGGCCCTTGTTATAAGGGAATCCTACTATTTAGGGGTCTATCTCCAGGGCCCCTTCATTTCGTAAACCTTCAAGTGTTTCCTCCCCGGCCTTGCCACGTGAGAGCCGATCCTTCCAGTCGCTCTTCGAGCTGTAGACGCTCATGCCCAGGTGATAGCCATTCCACTCCTTTTTGTTTGGGCTCAGAAGAAGGCCCTTTCAAGTTCGGGGCTCTTTCCCCCGAAACCCTAAACCCTAAACCCCAGGGTGTCTACGAGGTGTTGTTGGCACTTAAGGCTTGGGTTTTGGGCGGGCGGGCTTGTTGAGGCTCATGGCTGCAGCGGGCTTTATGACATCCACGGCTCAGGGCCACAGGGAATCAGGGTCTTAAGCCTTCAGTTGCTTTAAGGGCTTCTGGGCTTTAAGCCTTAAGTTGCTTTAAGGGCTTCTGGGCTTTAAGCCTTAAGTTGCTTTAAGGGCTTCTGAGCTTTAAGCCTTAAGTTGCTTCAAGGGCTTCTTAATGGTCTCTCAAACTCCCGTGCGACATTCGGAGGCCTCGAAAGCTTGCCGGGGTTTTGGGCTGAAGGCTTTCTGGTTCAGGGTTGGGGTGTTCGCCCTCATACTAACACTCCTGAATGGGGGTTATAATAGGGGGTACTAGAATCCCTATTAAGGACAGTTTTTTTATCGGGGGAACATCTCAAGCTCAGGGTGTACATGGCCTTCACAGACCCTGAAGACGATAACCCCAGTATAGGACTAGGCCTGCAAGAAACGTGAGCAGACAGGGTCGACAGTTCATGATGGCTAGTTCTGGGAACACTGCAAGAAACAGAGTCAGAGAGGGTCTAGTTTCATGCTGGGCAGCCTATACTCCAACTACACAGGGATTGCTGCAGAACATGCATTTGACTTCGGCTCCAGCAGCACATGCTTTGGGATGTTCCCCCCTATACTAACAGCCCTTAATAGGGACTATAGTACCCACTATGATAATCCTTAACCCTAAACCGTAGACCCTATAAACCCGAACCCTATAAACCCTACTTTGGGCAAGTCACCAGCGCGCTCTGTGCTCGGCGAGTTGAGATGAAGCCGTCGTTGTGGACATCGAAGTGGTAGAAGGATCCTGCCCATCTGGCGTTTGGGGTTTAGGGTTTAGGGCTTGGGGTTTGGGGTTTAGGGTCAGGGTAATTATAGGGTGTAGCGTGTAGGGTTTAGGGCTTAGGGTGTCTATCGGCTTGTTGCATGCTTGGACTTTTGGGTTCAGGGCTAGTTGATTCATCGGAAGGAGGGAAGGTTGAAGCAACCACCAGATCCCCCTGCATTCATGACTCTGTTCAATGTCACCTGTTATACATGGGGATGATAACAGTAAAAGGGCATGTTGTCCAATTTCCGGTTCAGTGTTGATGTATCAAATACTCTCAAATCCCACCCCCACCCACACGAACGAGGCGAACCCAAAATAGCCAACACCGAACTCCCCAGAAGACCGTCAACCCAAACCCAAACCTCCGGACGGAGAGCATTGGGCTGGTGAATCCGTCCTCGCGCTTCCGACCAGCTGTGCTCGCAAAGCCCTGCGCATAAGAATGTAGCGAGGCAAAGCAAGTCAGGTCGAGGCCTGCAGAAAAAGCGTTTTCCCACAAACCCCCAGAAGGTTTCGGGTTTGGGGCTTGCGGTTTAGAACATCCCCTTGCAGTTCTTCTGCGGCAAGCTGGCTCCACGGCTGCGGACTGCTCCTGGCTTCCCAATGCTAGGGGCCCGAAATACCACATAAACAGAAGGATCCTACTATTGTATCAGGGCCCCTATAAGTGTGATTCCGAAAACCCTGTTTGTAGGATCCTTGTGTTTATGCGTGTGTTTTTTCGGGGGGCCCCTAAATGCCTTCGGTATCGCGGAGGTACTCCAAGATTAAGAGGAAGTCCGAGTGTGAAAACGTCTCCTGGGCTGCGGAGTGCTCCGAGGTTTTGCAGGGCCCAGCAGTAGGGTTTAGGGGTCGGTGCAAAACCGGTGCCAGGCCCGTGGTTCAAGACCTACGCAGCGAGCAGAAGCACAACGAGAGGAATAATGTTAAGTTGAGGGTCCTGTCCCGCACGGTGAAATCATCCGCGCATCCACCCCCCCCCCCCCCCCCTTGCTATGAACGAGTCGGCACGGTCCTACAGCCGTCAATCAGCACCCCTTTTCACTCTGTGGTTTGCACTCCCCCCCCCCCCCCCCCCCCCCAAAGCTCAAGCCCTTATTCCCCACAGGTGCCTCAATGGGATTCAAACCATTCCCAAAGCATTCAAGTCAAAACAGCTAGACGAAACTGAAACCTAGACCAGGTATACACTGCCCAAACCATCCCACAGACGAGACGTCCCCTCGACACTTCAAAAACACGTAAAGAAACACGGGTCCGCCAAACCTTATACCCTTTCGCTACACGCGGGCAAATGCGGGCTGGGCGCGCCCAGATGATGGAACGACACCGCCTCAAACAGCGAGCGCGCCGTCCTGAACTACACAAAGCCGTCCCATACGATTTGAAGGTTCGTGAATCGTTGTATGGTTTCGAAGTCTTGAAGTATGGGCTGCAGGAACAACTATCGGAGACCCTCCTGCAACCCAAATATACCTACAATGTCAAGTTCTGAAGCTTCGGACGTAGGTTGCGAGGGGAGGAGGAGGTCAGGGGTGAACATCAGATCCTCGTGGCCATCTAGCTGTAAGCCTGAAGCATCATCCTGAAACGCCATCCCGGGCAGTTCCCACATGGTTGGGGCAGCACAGTAATTCCGCAATGGTCCCCTCTTGGAGATATGAACTCGTCTCCTGAAAATACCCCCGCGTAATGAGGGACCGCCACGACATGAAAGAACCGAAGCCCTTCAGCCATAGGCCTGTTTCCAGCCAAAGGCTCAACTCCAATCCCAAAGACTGGAAAAGGGAGCGGAGCTCCAGAAGATTCACGCTGTTGTCCTTCGAAGGGTTATTTTGGGTCTCTAGGGCTTCGGTGGTTTCGGGTATCAGGTTTTTTGGAATTGGGCTGGGATTTGAAGGCTTTTGCGGCTTCTGGGTTGGACACCATCTGATGCACGATCGGTCATGGTTTTTGACATTAGTTGAGGGCAAGGAACGACCTCAAAGAGCTGATCACGGGGCTGTTCTGTACTCACGGTCCCCTTTAGGGGCACCTTTGATGAAAGCATCCCTTGCCAGGCCTTGCCAGATACAGAACCCCAAATCTAAGCACTTCCCGAACTCGGGATGCACGTACCCCTAACAAACCCACAAATTACCATGATCGTAGTTCTGGAGGAACCCCGCAAAAAAAGGTACTCTTGTTTTGAAACCCAAGATGAAACAACCACATAAAACCCTTCAATCTGTTTGGAGGGTCGATGGGGCGTGGAAGACCACAGTCTTCAACCAAACCCGAGGAAAAACAACACAGCCACAACTCAACCCGGCTGGCCATTCCCAACTCCCGCGCCCCAGGGGAACAAGCAAAAAAGCCCAGAGTGCATCCTTGTCCCCGTCCGTCTTTCCTGGGGAAAGTCACACAAGGTCATGGAAGTCATGGGGTGTCAAGACTTCAAGGGTCTGCAGTTGTTGGGGGGTCTCTTGTGTGGCTGAGGATGGGAAGTCTTCAACGACGCTTTGACAAAAGCCCTCACCCTTACATTCAACCGAACCTTCACAACATGCCCCACTCCAAGGATCCGAGGAGATCCGCCTAAACCCGGCAACGCTCGCAAGTCTAAACCGCCTCCCTGTTCCATGCAGGCTGAGTAGCGGAAGATGTGCTGGGTGCGGAAATATTCGGCGTTGAAGTGTCGCCTCGCAGCGCGAAGGAGCATGGGGCTCTAAGGTTTATGTAGGGCCTGTGGCCTGAATCATTACACATACTTGCCAAGATCATGCCCTTTCACTCCTCAAACGGTTAAATGGTTGCAATATACACTCGGAACTCCCCATTTAAGAATCAAGGTTCCTGCTTTCAACCATCACCTGCAGCGGAACGTGGATCGAAGTCTCACACATGCCCAGCCTCATCATCTGCAGGAAATCCGACAAGGACAGGTCGCCTGACAAGCCCAGTGTGGGAACTCGAGAAATCACATGGCGCCTCCTTCTGCAAGCCATGCAAAAACAGCCTAAACATGAGGCGGCAGGCTTTGGATACCCGGGCGGCCAGTGTGTTGTCTCTCGCTGGCTGCGTGGCCTTTGTGGCCGGTGCTTTGCGGTGCTTCTTTCGGCAGGCTGCTGAACTTCTGTTGGTGTGCTAGGCTGTCCCGGTCGGGGCTGGTGGGTCCAGGATGTTCGGGGGGCACACGCCGACGATACTTCCCATGGCGCTGCTTGCTTGGGTTGCTCTGGTGGCTGCTCAATTGTGGCAATCGTGTTCTGGCTCTCCTCCCAGCTGTCGGGACGTTGGTGCTCTGGTAATGGTCCACCGGTGGCCTGACTTGAGTCCCGATGGTTGCCCACGGCGTCTCACATGCTGGTTTGGGCAGGTCTGGCTGGCCAAGCTTGTGGGGTGAGCGGGCTCGCGCGGTGCTGTTGCCCTCCGGTGGCGTCTGCGGTACTTCTTGGTGTTCATGGCCCCACCACCCTCTAACAGGGTTTCTTAATACAAGGGCTGACCAAGGACCACGGTATCATTTCGACAGCAGTCTGTTTGTAGTGCCATGCTGTAGGGCGGGGAGGAAGTTTCCAAGGTAGTGGTGGGAAAAGGCAGATGAAGCCTGGGAGGTCACCAAATGTGCAGCATGGGATCTCAACCCATATTTATGGGTTGCTATAAAAGGAGCTACTTACACAAGAAGGTAGTAGTGGCCATAAGATGGAACTCGAGTTTCTTGTTATGCTGGCTTGAGTTCTATATTCCTTGACGGCAACACCGCAACCCGGTACAAGCCCGGATTCATCTCACCAATGCTGGGCACATTACTAGTAGTATTGCGAGGATGGCCCTGTAAACACCTCTGAAAACTCTTCCTAAACATGATCCTCTTAAACCCAACAACGGAAAACATAAGCGATTACCGTGGATCTTCGGGGGCAGCTTCCACACCTTGCAGCTTCGGCTGAAGAGCTGCCAGCCTCTCTTCGTCCTCGGCGTCGCCGTTTTGTGTTGCTACTACTGGGTGATCACGGCTTTTGGAGAGTTGTGTGCGGTTTGCGTCCTCAACCCGGGTCGAAGAAGCAACCGTAGACGACTGAGCCCCCAAAACTTGTAGATAGCTGTGAAGTTAAACCCAAACTCAGCCCGTCCTTTGGAATCAGCATCACCTCCTGCTCTGCCAACTCGCGTGCCAGCTGTTGCGCCTCCTCTCTCGACGAATATAGAGGCTTAACAACTTGAATAGGGTTTTGGGGGGCTGTTATAGTATAATTATATAGGGACCATAAGGGAATACTACTAGTAACTATTCCGACCCCTATATTATAGGGGTTTGGTCTGTGCAGGTGAAGAATTGGTTGATGGTTGTGGCCGTTGGGGTTTTTTGCGCATGGAGTTCGCAGCCTCCCCCTTAGACTTTGGGGATTTGAAAGATGAGGAAGGGTTTGTTTGCCACCGGCCTAGCAGACCCCCTCTGGCATGAGGAAGGGTTTAGGGTGTAGGGTTACAGGGATCTGAAGAATTTTGCAGGATGGGATCGAGGACTCCGTGCAAAAACTAGTTGCTAGTTCCAACGCCACAAGGCCGAACATTCCCGAACGTCCGACCTAGGAAAGGCCTGGCTCACCCAGAAGACTCTGCGAAACCCTTCTTCCCGAACCTTCTTGCAATGGGCCGTCTGCGACTTCAGCAACCCACAGCGCGAGCCCTAAACCCTAAGCCCTAAACCCGAAACCTCAACCCAAGACAGCCGCAACATGGATTCTTCTTTGCTGCCGGCCTCTCTCGCCAGGAAATTGCCAATCCCCCCCCCCCCTGTTTAAACGGCCTCTATCGACTCCGGAAACTCCACTACCGGGCGCCTCCACAGCCGCCTCGGCGCTGGCCTCGGGAGCACAGAAGCTCAGCCACACGCGCCTTAGGCTGCAGGCGTTGAGATGCGCTTCGGATTCTTTGGATCTCTCGGGTTTTGTAGGGTTCTAGCGGGCCCAGCGCCCGGGGCATGTGGGAATCCCGACCGGCAAGGTGGACAAGCAACGCCGTTGAACAACATTGACTTGAAAACAACCCGAGCCAGGCATGTGTTTCTCTGAGTCAAGGCCCACTGTCCCAGGAGGTTTTTCAAGTGCTCGGAAGCTTGGGGCCGAACCGGAGCCCTGAACCTCGGAAGCCTCCCGATGCCTAGACTCCAAAAAATCGTGCAAGGCGCAATGCGGGCAGCTCATCTTCCTGGCAAGCCCAGGATCTGAGAGCATCTTCGATGCTAAGCCCCAAGAAGTGACCCGCCCACGGGCCCACTGCTTTTTCATTGCCACAACACCCCGAGGTCTCACAAAGCCCCGAGCCTCCAGAAATCCGCTTCCATTGCTGTCCAGCCGCCTTGGGACTGGTGGGGTGTGTGGGACCGCCATTTGTCTCCAGAAACCCTCAAGCCACAAGCCCTGCAAGCGAATGCCCTGAAGGCCAGGACGCTGGAAAGCAGCACAAAGGCGGCCATGCTGGGATCGTGTGAAGCCGTCACCTTGTGCGCGTTGGGTTTAGGGTGCTCGCCAGGGATTAGTGGTTTTGGGGTGCAGGGTTCCGGGCTTACTTTCCCAGGGCTTTTCCAGGCCTTACAAGTGTCCTGCAAGATGAAATTCAAGAGAGAAGACGCCGAGGGGCGATTAGCTTGTGTTTAGCGCCACCCACCAACAGAACCCTGCAACCCAAAACCCGGAGATCAGATCCTATGCAGCGGCTGGGAGGGGGTTGTTGATATTTGGGGTTCCGAGCTTTTGTCGGGCCAAGGCTAGAAAAATTGGCTGCCAGGAGTGGAAGTGCACAGCGCGAGCTTACACAGGTGGATTATCACCATTTCGTAGCAATTGGGCTTGCGATTGCAAAGTTATATGCAAGCCCCTGTTTGGGTATGTGGACTCCAACACCAAACCTTTTTTCTGAGCGCGGACTTTGAGCTGCAAGCCGGCCAGAAACCCTCACCCCAATACACCCTAAACCCCACGGCGTTCTAGTCGAGGGGCGCTCGACCAGGCCCTGCATGAGGAAACTAAAGAGGCTGAAGTCCACGCTGCCTTCCCAAAAATGAAGCGGGAGCTAGACTAGCTGGTTCTGAGTCGGGAAGGAGGGAATGAGGTACCCTGTGTAACTGGCCTAGGAGCGTACGGGTACGTTTAACTACAACTATACCACAACAAGGAAGCCATGGCCATTTCTTCTATAATATTCCTACCCTGATTAAGAAATGTAAGCTGCCGAGCAGCAAATCACCAACCCCAACTACCCCGAACCTTGTTCCCCAACCCCTTTTTGAGGAGGGGCCTATACGTAAAACCCTAAATATAGGGTTTAACACACATTTAATCAAGAATGAATTAATTTAACGGTACAAAGCTCAGCTTAACCCTCTGGAATGTAAACCCCAGAGTTGAGCATCAAGACGCCCGAGGCATTATACGCCAGGGACCCCCCCACGAGTTGCAGCTCTACGCCCGTCCGAACTGAAACCTAGGCCACATGATCAGCAGGTGAGTCTTAATTTCTTTATTTGTTTGTGTTAGTTGAATTGGGGTTCTGTGGCTACGTATACTCTATAATATGTATATATATATATATATACGCTCCATATATATATATACACATTTAAAGAGGATAACATGTTGCTGAAGGAGTTAAGTTTCCATATTCGGACCTATGGCTGCCCTCTAATGACAGGAAGCATTGGGTTTAAGGTTTAGGGAGGGATGTTGACAGCTGACAACCAGGATGGGCTATGTGGCCTTATAATCCACGTAGTCAACCCTATAAAAGAGCTTTTTTTAGGGGTTCTAGGGGATAATAGCCCATCCTGGAAGGGAGGGTGCCCTTTGGACCCTCACCCTCCGCCTGCTCCGCCACGGCTTTTGGGCCTTGGCACGCCAAGAGATTCAGCCGCCTCCTCTAAGAGCTCCTGATGGGAAGCAGTAGGTTTAGGGTTAAGGCATGGTCATGAGTTCCACCAATAAAGGCAATGCTCGCTTTGGAGGGAGGGGGACATCGAAGCTCGGGCCGCGTTGAATGTCCACACAATGCCCAAAGCGTTGCCATCCTCTCGGCCGATACTATCCTGAAGGTTCTGGGCAGGAAGGGTGCACTATTGGCCCCCGTGGTTTGCGGGTGTCTACCCAGTGCCGTCTGGCCGTGCGCTTCGGCGTTGTGCCATTGGTGCGGGGTGGCCAGCTGGAGCTGTTCTCAGTGGGTGGCCGATGACGTTGACGGACATCAACTCTCACCGTATGTCATGAATTGAAGGGTGAAGATGGTGAGTAAACTTAAAGGATAAATATGTTCGGAAGTCTTGTCTCGATGCAGTACGTCCAGTTTCCGGAAAATCCTGGATTGGAGTTTGAAGAAGCCATTAGGCTATTCGAATCTAGAAACGTTCCCCCTGAATCTTCAAGCGCTGCACCCAGAGAGAGGCATGTTCGCCGGCCTTGTTTCAACCAACATCTTGCTGAAAGAGTCTTTCTCACGCTGTAAATCGTAACCCCCGAACCGCCTGGAAATCGCCAGCCGACAAGACGAAGCCCACCTCCATACAGACGTAGAGGAGCTTTGGGATTGTAGGATGTGTGGCTTACTCAAGGAGACGTGCTCGGGAGAATTCAGTCTTGGGCTTTCTGCTTAGTGCGAATCGGTCTGCGACCCCAAAACTTGTTGCTACTTGTGCAAAACCCAACAGGGCTGGGAAGGATTTCACGAGGGAGCCGCAGTCTAGAGGGCGCATCTCAACAATGGTTGGACTTTGGTTTACAAGCTTTCGATGAGAAAAGGGTTTACAGGGCTTCGCGAATGTTCATGTGTTAGGTTCCCCCTTGTACTACCAGTCCTTCATAGAGATCATGGTACCCCCTATGTTAATCCCTACTAAGGACTGTTGGTAATAAGGGGGAACATCCCAACAGCAACCCTAAACCCTAAACCCTAAACCCTAAGGTCTAGGTTTTTGCCAACAGCCGCCCCGAATTGCGCGGCTGCGGCGCCTGCTTGATCAGGTCGTAGAGCTGGCGGACCTGGATGGCGCCGAAATGTGCCTGTCACCGGGGTTTGTAGGGTTTAGGGTGTTTAGGGTTTAGGGTTTAGGGTTTTTTTTGCCACCCGCCTAGCAGACCCCCTCTGGGATCACTCCGCAGGGAACAGTCGTGAGTATGCATGTTACCAGGGTTTAGGGTTTAGGCTTTAGGGTTTAGGGCTTCCCAAAGCTCGAACCGACATCTGGGCGGAAGTTGTGCTTTACCATAGGGCCACCCAGCCCCCAAAGCCAGCCCTGCACCCGTATAAAGGCATCACAAGATCCCAAACCCCCTCCCTGAACCCTGAACCCTGAACCCTAAACCCTAAACCCGAAAGGCCTTGCCCAGGAAGGCCACCTCGGTAGCCTTGACGAGCTCAGCTTCGTAGGACCTGCGTGAATGGCTTCTGGGTTTCGGGTTTTTTCGGTTTTATTGTTATTTATTTACTTATATATATATATATATATATTTTATTTTTTTTTTTGGGGGGGGGGTGTTGTTGTTTTTTTTTTTTTTTTTTTTCAGCGAAGGGTTCTTCGGAAAAAAACGTTAGCCCTACCACACTACCACACACTCACACTACCATCACCACACTACAATCACCACACTACCATCACCACACTCCAATCACCACTACCATCACCACACTCCAATCACCACACTCCACACTACCATCACATCACCTCCTCTATTAAATTCTCTCTTATTTCTTAGGCTGGGGTGGGTTTCGCCGCGGCTAGCGCGATGCACCCCTCTGCGGGGATCGTGCGTGTCGGGGCGCTCCCGCTGTGCGTTTTTGCGCATGTGGATTTGTCGCCGCGCACCCTCTGCGGGGATCGTGCGTGTCGGAGCGCTCCCGCTGTGCGTTTTTGCGCATTGTACAACTTGCTTCGCACACCCTCTGCGGGGATCGTGCGTGTCGGAGCGCTCCCGCTGTGCGTTTTTGCGTATTTTCAAGCGTGGTCGTGCACCCTCTGCGGGGATCGTGCGTGTCGGAGCCTTCCTCACCTCTTCCTCTCCTCTTCCTCTCCTCTTCCTCTCCTCTTCTTTTCCTCTTCCTCTCCTCTTCCTCTCCTCTTCCTCTCCTCTTCCTCTCTTCTTCCTCTCCTCTTCCTCTCCTCTTCCTCTGCTCTTCTTTTCCTCTTCTTTTCCTCTTCCTCTCCTCTTCCTCTCCTCTTCTTTTCCTCTTCCTCTCCTCTTCCTCTCCTCTTCCTCTCCTCTTCCTCTCTCTTCCTCTCCTCTTCCTCTCCTCTTCCTCTGCTCTCTTCCTCTTTCTCCTCTTCCTCTCCTCTTCCTCTCCTCTTCTCCTCTTCCTCTCCTCTTCCTCTCCTCTTCCTCTCCTCTTCCTCTCCTCTTCTCTCCTCTCCTCTTCCTCTCCTCTCCTCTTCCTCTCTCTTCTTCCTCTCTCTCTCTCTCTCTCTCCTCCTCTGATCTTCTTTTCCTCTTCCTCTCCTCTTCCTCTCCTCCTTCCTCTCCTCTTCCGCTCCTCTTCCTCTCCTCTCCTCTTCCTCTCCTCTTCCTTCCTCTCTGCTCTTCCTCTCCTCTTCCTCTCCTCTTCCTCTCCTCTTCCTCTCCTCTTCCTCTCCTCTTCCTCTGCTCTTCTTTTCTTCTTCCTCTCCTGGAAAGTCGACTTTTGTAGTGCAAACGTACTGCGCCGCGGACGCCCGGAGCTGCCGTGGCTGGAAAGTCGACTTTTTGCAGTACAAACGTAGTACGCCGCGGACGCCCGGAGCTGCCGTGGCTGGAAAGTCGACTTTTTGTAGTACAAATGTAGTACGCCGCGGACGCCCGGAGCTGCCGTAGTCGACTTTTTGTAGTACAAACGTAGTACGCCGCGGACGCCAGGAGCTGCCGTAGCTGGAAAGTCGACTTTTTGTAGCACAAACGTAGTACTTGTAGTACAAACGTAGTACGCCGCGGACGCCCGGAGCTGCTGTGGCTGGAAAGTCGACTTTTTGTAGTACAAACGTAGTACGCCGCGGACGCCCGGAGCTGCCGTAGCTGGAAAGTCGCTCTAGGACTTCGAAAACGTCGCAAATACCGTGGGCGCGGAACTCTGGGGCTTCGAAAACCTAGCAAATACCGTGGGCGCGGAACTCCGGGGCTTCGAAAACCTCGCAAACACCGTGGGCGCGGGCGCGAAACTCTGGGGCTTCGAAAACCTCACAAACACCGTGGGCGCGGAACTCTGGAGCTTCGAAAACCTCGCAAATACCGTGGGCGCGGAACTCTGGGGCTTCGACAACGTCCAAAATCCGGGGGCGCGGAACTCATGGGGCTTCGAAAACGTCGCAAATACCGTGGGCGCGGAACTCTGGGGCTTCGAAAACCTCGCAAATACCGTGGGCGCGGAACTCCGGGGCTTCGAAAACCTCGCAAACACCGTGGGCGCGGAACTCTGGGGCTTCGAAAACGTCGCAAATACCGTGGGCGCGGAACTCTGGGGCTTCGAAAACCTCACAAATACCGTGGGCGCGGAACTCTGGAGCTTCGAAATCCTCGCAAATACCGCGGGCGCGGAACTCTGGGGCTTCGAAAACCTCACAAACACCGTGGGCGCGGAACTCTGGAGCTTCGAAAACCTCGCAAATACCGTGGGCGCGGAACTCTGGGGCTTCGACAACGTCCAAAATCCGTGGGCGCGGAACTCATGGGGCTTCGAAAACGTCGCAAATACCGTGGGCGCGGAACTCTGGGGCTTCGAAAACCTCGCAAATACCGTGGGCGCGGAACTCCGGGGCTTCGAAAACCTCGCAAACACCGTGGGCGCGGAACTCTGGAGCTTCGAAAACGTCGCATATACCGTGGGCGCGGAACTCTGGGGCTTCGAAAACGTCGCAGCAAATAGCACGACGACACCACACTACCGTCGCAACATTACCATCACCACATTATCATCACCCCATTACCATCACCGCACTACCATCGCCTCAGCTACACACCGCTTCTCTACGCTGCCTGTTACATTCCATCTTCTTTGCGTTTCGCGTTCTTTTCGCCGTCGACGCCACACCTGCTTCCTATCCTACTACACCACACCACGATCACCGCACTGACAACACAACCAACTATACGTGTCAGTTGATATCTTTGCACTGATGGCTTTCGGGATAATCGGTGTCTATTTTTTTTTTTTTTTTGGGGGGGGGTCGGGGGTTTTGTGGTGTGAGGGGAGGCACTGAGCAGTGTCTCAGCCAAGCATAGAATTGCACGGGAAGTCTACGTAAGGTAAATTCAAGGTCAGCGATTCAAATCGAAGTCCTAGGGTCTCAGTTTGTGCACAAACATTGCAGGATGTCGAAATCACAAACTTAAAAATCAAGAGTCATGAACGAGTCTGAGGAATGAGTTGGAGAAATCCCTCCGCAAAACACGGCAACCCCATTCTCGCCTAGTGGCTTTTTCTGCTCTCCTTTCAAAACTCAACATTGAGGTGGTGACCCGACAGCGGTTGAACTAGGATGCCCTGGAACGGGCTTCATGGCGCTATCTTATACATATACACATCTACACATACACTGTGTGTAACTCCTTGAACGGCCTAAGCCCCTTGGACCTGAAAAGGCATCTGAGCCCGGCCAAGAAGCCGAAAGAAGTCAAAGATGTACTCGCGCGACAGCACGTTCAGCTTTGCGTGGTCGTTGGCTCTGATGCAGTCTTCCATGATGTCCTAGACACGCTGGATGACACCCCCCCCAAGAGCCAAAACACTTCTGCAAAACAAAGTGACACCGCGTTGGAGTGCGCAAAACCGAGGCGGGAGCGCCATGCCAAAACAAAACAGGAGATATGTGCAGATCCCCCGAGAGCGGGCGCACGAAGGTGGGGGAAAGCGTTGGCGATCAGGATAAGCTATCCGGCCTTATCATCCCCATAAGCAAGCCTATGAAGGGCCGATTTAAAGGGGTTCTAGGGCATCATAGCCCATCCTGGGACCCTGAGCGATTGAAACGCGTGCAGAATATCGCCGAGGCGATAGAGCCCTGACGCTTCAGAGTGTTACTGGGTTTGGGGTTTAGGGTTTAGGGTTGCGAGCTCCTAAGCAAAACACAGCGACGCCCGAAGCCTCATCAACCACTGCGTGCCCTGCCCGCCGAAGCAGAGCGCGGTGTGTGGCTCCGCCAGTGTCCTTGAGCAACTAAGCAAGCGAAAGAGCCAGTAATTGGGATATAGAAACTAGGACTAAGGGCGGATGGAGTTTGGGGGGGGGGGGGGGCATTTGGGTTTCACTTTGGGCTACAGCCGATAGCACTGTATCATCTCTTCGCTTGCTGTTGAAAAGTGAATGTTGAGAAGCAGACAGCGCCAGCATGAGCACCGACACAACCGGCCCCCATGATGCCATCGTCTGTAACGAAGCAGCGAAGCACGGGAACAGCATGAACCCATCAATCAAATCCCCCCGAAAACCGCACCAATGTTAGCAGCACCCCTGAAAGTGTCGTGGCGGATAATGTCGTTCTTGGCAAAGAAAAGAAAGGCATCCTCCTGGGATCACGCGGCGCAGAAAGGCGTTCTCAGCAGTTCGGGGCAGGGATGGTCAAGGGCTTGCTGGAGCGGGGTCTAGTTGCAGATGCTTTGTTCTTTTCTGCTTGTTTAGGGGGCGGGGGGGTTCGCCGGATGTGAGGATGTGAAGCTCAGGGTGTTGAGGTCTGTGGGGTTGTATCAATCACCCTTGGCCAACAGAAAAAAAATGATCATCCGCGCCCGAAGTCCAGGCAAGTTTACTTGCCATCTAAATCAGGGATGCTCCGCCTTGTCACTGGCACTGTGTGCATGTGTAGACATTTTGTCCCAGCCGCCCGTGCACACGTCTGAACATGTAGAACCTGCAATCTCGATGCTCTACGAAGTCTACGGCGTACGGACCATTCTCTGGATCATCTCTATGAAAGCCAGCCTGCGAATCAACATCTGCCATGCCAAGTATGCAACGAAGGTTGATGAGGCCCCCATGCGCAGCAGCGCTGAGACCCACCGAAGCCCCAGAACCCAAACGTAACGTTCCGAACGTTCTAGACCGTACAGTAGAGCCCTGAGTTATAGACCCAGAACCGTGTAACTCTGGGTGAGTTTCGGTGGCCTTGAAAAGTTCTATTCGTCATGAGGTTAAACAGGGATTAGGGCCCATCGACCTTCAAGCAAGATATCAATTCAACCCCATAAAACTGCACTAAGCCCTGAACTCCTGGAACCCTAAACTCTTTTGCTCCCCTTGGTAGCCCAGCAACCGTATTATAATAAGGGCACCCTTTTTAGCTTTATCAGGGAACCTTGAACCAACAAAAAGGGTAAAGGGTACTACTGGGCGACCAAGTTCCTACAAGCCCGAAACCTCTCTAAGCTGCAGTGGAGGGCTCCCATCGCTCGGGGATCTCAGATTCCGCATCCCGGCTGCTGCCCTTCGGACGCAGGTGGATCCGGTGCTTCATGGCCGCCCCGCGCGCTTGGGACGATTTCGGAGCTCTTGGGCTAGTTGCTTGGAAGGTCAAGGGTTGAGGACCTTACAGGGTTTATGGGGTTTTTGGGGTTTAAGTCTGGGGGGCAGGGGGGGGGGGTGTTTCTTTGAGCTTCCGGGGGTTGGGATTTTGCGTAAGGTTGATATGGGGCTCAGGGTTCTGAGAAGCGAACAATTGTTACGTAAGATCCCACAGCAAGATCGCGGATTGCTAAGGGTATGTCCGTGGCTGTGGAAGTTCGTTGCGTCATGTCAAGTGCCAGAATCACGACTGCGCCGAGAAACCAACAAATCCGTTCGCATGCTAAACATGCACACTAAAGTGTTCCACGTCTGCAGAGCCGGACAAGTTGAGCCAGAGATGCCGGGTTGGAGGAAGGAAGGAGTTCATGGGTCATGGACTGCTCGATATTGAAGACCTTTACACAGGGATACGCTTAAGTAAAGAGGCTTTTGCGCAACCCTAAACCACAAACCCTGTTCTTTTGTTTTATTATTTTTTTTTTTTTTTTGGGGGGGGGGGGGGGGGGGTGGGGGGTGGGCGTGGACTTACACCCTAAACCCTTTCAAGCTGAAAACCCACCAGCACCTTGAACCGGAACAGTGCCAAGACTTCAACGTACTGGGCTTTCCAAGGACTTCAGGAAAGCAGCCCTTCCATGCCGAGATCCAAAACCACAAAAAAAGCCACCCCCCCCCCCCCTTTCAGGCAGCCTGTGAGGTCGTCGGCTGCTTGGTAGAGGCCTGGGTGTTGAAAGGGGCTGAGGGTTCATTCAGGGCCTGTTAGTATAAGGGGTAACATCCCAAGACTTCCCCAAAACGCCACCGGAAACCTAAGCCACTCAAAGCCTAAGCCCACAAAGCCAAGGCCTAGGAGTCCATTTTCCACCCATTAAGAGCAGGAGGTCTGTGAGATGTTGTGTCAAGGAGTCAAGGGAACCAAAGGTTTTTCCCCCCCGAGCTCCAAGTCCGGCGCACCACTTTAGGGCTCCAACTCTTTTTAAGGTTCTTTGGCACCCGCATAGCTGGACGGTTTGCTCTTTAGGGTTTAGGGTTCCCAGAAAATCTCGCAGGAGAGCCGAGTATCCCCACCTTCCGCAATTTCTTTATTTAATAACTTTATTTTCCCACATCAGGTAGCAGTGGGGTGGGGACGGTCGAAGTAGATGATAGAGAGGCGTTGTGTCGCACTTGCTGACAGTACTGTAGGCCCCAAGTTGCCAAGTCCATGAATTTCAAGGAGTCGTCCGTGGATGTAAGAATTCCGCAATCCTTCCTGGCTTGAGGCCTGGAAGATAAGGGACCCCTAATGTAAACCCCAAATTGTAGGCTTCCCTTATAATGAGGACCCCAATAAGGTACCCCTATTTTCGGAAACCCCCAAATCTTGATCAGCCTTGGAGGGTCTGCCACCAAGGAATCAAGAGAGATCTAGGGAGGCCAGGGAACAACCAATCTCCTACAAGCCCTAAAATCCGTCAATGCCCCTAAAGAATCCCCTCCCCAAAATATTACACACACCCCCCCCCTACCCCCTAACATACCTACTTAGTTAAATCTTCTTCAGGCTTAGGGGTTTACAGGGTTTAGGGTGTATAGGGTTTATAGGATTTAGGGTTTAGGCTTAGGGTTTATAGGGTTTAGGGTTAGGGAGTATAATCTAGTAGGACCCGGGGTTCCGGGCCGGCAGAGGGATGTTCAACTCGAGGAGCTCCTGGCGCGGAGGAGGCGGCTTGTTCATTTTTGTTGTGTGTTGGCTTAGGATTTTTTTGGGTTTAAGGTTTTGGGCTTACGGTTTAGGGTTTACGGTTTAGGGTTTAGGTTGAGGGTTTACGGTGCTTACCGCCTATGGCTGAACGCAAGTCCACATTGCAGGCGGGGTTTAGGGTGTAGGGTGGTGTCGGTGGTGTTTGGGTTTTTTGCCACCCCCGTAGCCACGCACTGCCGGTTTGAAACTTGGGGGGGGAATCGTATTGCCTACGCATCAAGCCAAAAGGGACACACCACAAGTAATCTGACAGGTGCCTCTGGGGTTTTGGGTTTAGGTAGGGTGTATGGCAGATGGCTCTCTTGCAGGGTTGTCCTTCGAAAAACTCTACAGAAGCCCGGAAAACCACGAACCTCAAAAAAACCCTGAAAAATCCTCGTAAAAGACCCAAATCACTTCACTAAACCTGGTTTTGCGATGCAGGGATCGGGTTCATATCGGTTCCTTGCCTTGGCAGCTTCTTCCGTCTGCTGCTGCCTGCAAAGTGCCACCGAGGTTGTGGGATTTCGGGCCACTCCGCAAAGCATTCCCAAGCAAGGTCCCCCTTCACCCAAAAAAGCGAACATATAGAATATCCATGGGCCTACCTACCTAGGGAGACGTTGAACCATTGGATGTACTGTGGGAGGATTCGATGCCAAAGCCTGTTTGGCACACAGTTCCGTAAAAACAGCCACAGAGCCAGGCATCTTCAGAATTCAATTCGTATATGTCAATAAATACAAACCAAAATTACCCCGGTATATACGCACATGTCTATGCAAAATATGTATATGTATATCTGCATATGAAGGTGTATCTCATCCCCCATCCTGCACTTACTTGTCTGCCAGGTGGCAGCTCTGCAGGGGATCCGCTCAGTGCCGCGGAGTGTGATCGCCTCAAGCTTGATAGGCTAGGGCTCATATGTGCATTTGCTGACCCCTCCCACCCCACCTCCCCCCCGCCGCCCTGCTTCTCTGGAGTGGAGACGCAGGGTTCAGCACTTCGGGTGCAACGGATGATGGTACTGCTCTTCAGGAATTTGGGGAAGCACCCAGGATACAGGATCACTTTCGGCCCTGGCACACAGGTAATGCGGGAGCCTACATTGTTGTCAATAGCATCTACTCATCATCCCTGTTTTCTGGGACATATAGTAATATTTGAATGTGTGTTTTGGGTGGTCTGTTTCACAAACCACTCAAAACACCCATCCAAATGAATCAGCATGGTCCCCGTATTCCAGCCGAAGTCAGCGGCCCTGAAATCGACTCCGGGTCTCAAGTCTTGGGGCCTCAGGGCACGCAAGCTCGGAACCGCAGCTTTTTGCAGGCTCTTTGGGCTTTGGAGAGTTTCGGCGTGTAGAAGTTTAGGGCTCTACATCTGGAATCCTATATTTGGGTGGCTTTTCGCAGTAGCCATGGAAAGAGGTGAACGCCACAAGGGCCCCTAAACC